AGTTAAGACTGGCCTTGCGGGTGGTTGTCTTTAGAAGAGAGTTTGAAAAGAAGCATTTCAAAGGTGTGTTGATCTATTTAGATGCACAGACACAAGACAGGGCTTGCTTAGGCAAAGATAGGCCTTTTTCCTATATGCCTGGGGTGTGACTACCCACCATGACCTGCCCAGTTAGGATTTTATGATCAGATCACCCTGTGAGATTTGCCATAGAACCACTCTTCTGTGCACAAAGCTGCTGTACACCCATTCAGACAGAAACCCAAATGGTGTTCCAAAAGAAGGTGAATAATTGAACAGAAGGAAGGGATTTCCGCAGGTGCAGGTAAGCTAACAGTGATGCTAATTCTAAAGAATGTTCATGGGGTATGATGTGTGCTTTTTGGGAGCTTTGCAAACAGCTTAGAATAAAAACTGCTCTGGGCCCAGTACAAAGGTTAATTTGCCCACTTGGAACTTTCTAAAGGGTTGATGAGTGAGACTTGCAAGGCAGTTCTGCTGGGGTGACAGCTTCCACTTCTAAAAGTACCTCCGTTTATATTTTCACAACATTAGGGTCTAGTGAGGTGAGCTGGGGAGGGCACTGCTACACACAATCACTTAGCGTCCCAGACTACCTACTAGCCCAATTGTCCTGGGACTGTTGGAGCCACTGCATAGAGAAGCATATAGGGGCATTTATGGTCCAGGTCTAGAACTTCATCCCTCACTGGTGTTGGTTAGGAAATTCCAGACTGAGTGGCATAAAATTTCACTCCTGGGAGAGGCTGAACCATGAAAATGTCTAAAAAACATTTTAAAAAGGTGAAGTCAACAAGCCTTGGTCAGAGAGCTCGCTTGGTGAGAGTCATGGTCCTTATATGCCAAGGTTGCTGGTTTAATCCCGGGTCAGGGCACATGCAAGAAGTAACATGAATATACAAATAAGTGGAATAACAAATCACCATGGATGTTTCTGTCTCTCTCCCTCTCCCTTCCTCTCTGATATCAATAAAAACATATTATAAAAAAAAAAGTTGTGTTCCAAAAAATAAAAAGTTGTGTCCCATATTTTCCTTGTAAAATTGAAATCTAAATGAAGTAAATGGCATGGAATATGGTCTCAGCTTTTGATAATGCTTCTATCAGTAAAGTAGTAAGTGTAGGTATTTGCATTTATGTGCAAGGCATTTAGTGGCATTTGTTATACTGAGGGTTCACTTTTGTTTTATTACGTACAAGAATTATGATTAAAAGCTCTACAGCACCCAAGTGGGTCATCAGTTTCCTACTGTGCAAAGCTAGATAATGGGCTTTGCAGATCCTAACCTTGAAAGCTCCGGTTTCCCTCTGTTATCAGTAAGAAAATTGAGTGGGAAGAGGTGAAGAAACTTGTTCAAGGCCATGGAGCTGGTAACTTGCAGACTTAGGAATCTAGGCCAAAGGCCCTGGCTGTCCCATTCCCCCAAGTTTGTTTTCTGAAGACCCAAGTAAGTACAAGAGTTTTGAGATCTAAGATGACAGTTTCCAAACCTTGGTTCATCCAAACCTGGTGAACTTAAAATGTCAGAGCTCTATTCATAACCTAAATCAGAAGGATGAGAGAATTTTTTTCTTTTAATTTTGTTTTTGTTTTTTTTGCACCACAGAAATAGTCCTGTGATGCTGGTTTAGCAGAATTGGTAAAGAAAGAATTTCACGTTGAGATTATGTTGGGAATAGGCAAAAAAAATGTGACAAGAGAAAGACCCAAAATAGGGACATTGGGGGCATGGGACCAGGTTTCAGAACAATATGTTTTGTACTGTTTGTTCAACAGAAAAATAATAATGATGGTAAAAGGTAAACAAACTAGGTATAATTCTAACTGGAATTTTCATAATATAATTTTTGAGCACTTGCCAGGCATCTGTGCTAGCACTTAACATGTCATCTTGCTTAATTGTAATCATAGCAACCCTGTGAGGCAGATACTCTTTGCCTCATGGGTGAAAGATGTACAGAGAAGTAGAGGAATTTGTTCAAGTTGACAGAAATTTTAAGTCATAAGTGGGAATTGAACTCAGGTTTGTCTGACTTCAAAGTCTGCCTTCCATATTCTACACAAAAAAATCAGGAAACTGAAAATAAAAAAATTACCCAGGGAACTATTCTATTGTACAAATATTATCATTATTAAGATTATGGGTCTTTTCTTTTATTGTTTCAGAATGTATATGTTACAAAAATAATTTATTTTAAAAATTGGGAAATAGGATTTTTTTCATTTTTTATTTAATTGTGGCAAGAACACTTAATATGAGATCTACCCTCAATAGATTTTTTTAAAAATCCTCACCAGAGGATATTTTTCCATTGCTTTTCAGAGAGAGCAGAAGGGAAAGAGGGAGGGACAGAGAGAGAGAAGCATAGATGTGAGAGACGCATCAACTGATTGCCTCCTGCACATGCCCCCTGACCAGAGGATAGGGAGCAGACCAGAAACCCAGGCATGTGCCCTTGACCAGGAATTGAATTCGAGACGCTTCGGTGCAAAGGCTGACACTCTAACCATTGTGAAAAACTGGCCAGGGCTACCCTCAACAGATTTTTAACTGTAATATTGTTGATTATAGGCACATTGTTGTACAACAGATATCTAGAACTTTTTCATCTTGCTTAACTGAAACATTATGTCCGTTAATTAACTTTCCGTTTCCTCTCCCCCTTCTCTGGCAACCACCATTCTACTTTTTGCTTCTAAGACTTTGACTATTTTATTTTTTTTAATACATTTTTTATTGATTTCAGTGAGGAAGGGAGAGGGAGAGAGAGATAGAAACATCAATGATGAGAGAGAATCATTGGTCGGCTGCTTCCTGCACAGCCCCCACTGGTGACCAAGCCCACAACCCAGGCATGTGCCCTGACCAGGAATGGAATGGTGACCTCCTGTCACCATTCCATTGGTACATAGGTTGACACTCAACCACTGAGCCACACCGGACAGGCAAGAGTTTGACTGTTTTAGATACTGACCTCATGTAAGTGGAATCATGCAGTATTTGACTTATGATTGGCTTTTTTCACTTAGCACAGTGTGCTCAAGTTTCATCCATGTTTTCACATGACAGGGTTTCATATATATTCCCCCTAAAATGTATACACACTTTAACAGCTGACAGCTCAATTTTGAAAATGAAATGTATTTTAATAGATACTGCCATTATAATTATTCAGTGTGTATACATTTTTTGAGGCACCGTATATATATTGGTTGACTGTTGACTTATCTGTATATATAAAAAGCCAGCGACCATAATGCTGTAATAACCATAATGACCAGTCACTATGATGCCCACTGTGGCCAGCGAACCAGCCCCATCAGGTACATATGTCTCTGTTTTTCCCCATTGACCCAAGAGCTCTCTATGTGGTTAGCTGAGACTGATCCCTGGCCAGCATTGCAGCTTTACTTATTCCTCTGCTCAAACCTGCTCTTTTCCCATTCTTCCCAGTTACTGTTCTCAAAAGTATCCTTTAATAAGTACTGCCCACTACCGGACTCTCCCACCTGGATCAAGGGCAGGGCCAGCTGGCCAAATGCCCCACCTCCTTCCCCCCAGCCAGCCCCGCCCCTCATCGGCCCACTCGACCGAGATAGGCCTGCAGCCCCTCCACACCAGCCGGCCCCACTCCTGATAACTCCCCCCGCCCCAATAGGGGGTGGGGCTGGCCAGCCAATCACCTATGGGCTCACGGCTGGCGAGCGCGGCGGTGGTAGCAGGAGCCTCTCCTGCCTCCGTGGCAGTGCTAAGAAAGCAACAGCAAGCAAAGGAGCGAGGGGTCCCAGACTGCAAGAGGGATGTCTGAGTGCCGGCTTAGGCTGGATCCTTGTGGGGAGTGGGCCTAAGCCAGCAGGTGGACATCCCCTGAGGGGTCCCGGACTGCGAGAGGGATGTCCCACTGCCAGCTTAGGCCCACTCCGTGGGGAGCAGCCCTAAGCTGGCAGTCGGACATCCCTCAAGGGGTCCTGGACTGCAAGGGGATGCAGGCCTGGCTGAAGGACCCACCCCCCAGTGCACAAAATTCCTGCACCGGGCCTCTAGTTTTAAATATATTAATATTACTGTGTGATAGGCAGTTAGACATGAGCAGAGCAAGGAGCATGGGCCAAGTACAGAAGGTCACTAGGTGGAAAGCCCTGGGTGCCGAGGGGCAAAATGGGAAAACAAGGACCTTGTCTCCAGGAAAACCTTTCTTTCCCTAGCATATTGGTGGTCATGCGGTTTAGATCCTCTGACCTTTCATATCACTGGTCATTCAGTTCAGATCCTCCCCTGACCTTTCCTCCCTGCCATGTTGCTAGTCATGTGGGTTAGACCCTTAGAGGGGGAACCAACAAGGAGGCCAGAAAATAGCCCATAAACATTCAGCCCCCAAGACAATGAGATGTGGACCCACATCAAGTACATCTAGACCTCAGTTGTGTTTCAGCTCCAGGCCCAGAAAAGCAGCAAAACCAAAGAAGCCAGGCCATGGCTGACGTCAGGACCAGCTGCATTGACTAATGACCCTCCCCCGCACCTGTCCTGGTGTTGATCAATCGGTGATCAACAGTGATCCTGAAAGGGCACACCGGGAAAGCTGATACATATCCTATTGGGGGTCCTCCCTGAGGCCTCCAGATACTCTCAAGGAGAACCCAACTAGGTGATCTTTAAGGAACACTCCCCGCCTTTCTCCACCCCCTTCATCCAGGTGCCATTTCCTCGCCTCTCTCTTTTTCCTACGCTCCAAGTGCCCTTCTTTTGGCTGTGTAACTTGTTTTCTGAAGCCCATTGCCTCTACCTCTGTGACTTTCTAAAAAGAAACTGGTATAGTTTTGAGTCTTGCCTCTGAATTCTTTCTTAGCCAGAACTCAAGTAGGGAGGTTGCTGAACCAAGGTCTGGTCAGACTCCACCACCTAACCCTTGGTGCTGTTAGCGCCGCCGTAATAACTACATGCAACTGTTTCCTGTATTTAACAAGCCTTTCCTTTTATTTACCTTCATGCGACTAGCTCCACCTTCCAAAAGTTTCAGGTGGGCAGGCAGAAGGGTGCCTATTCTCTGAGAAATTGAACGCAATGGTTTTAAACACCGGCCAGAAAAATGTGGGCTCGCCGTTTCAACGCATAGAAATAGTGACATGGATGCCTAGATTGCCATTTTCGGCAAAAAGCTGTGCGATTCTGGTGTCAAAGATTAGACAGTCGCTACTGATAATGGCCGTTGCGATGCCCTCGTGAATCGATCGGGGAGTGTCTTCCCAAGTCATCCGCCGCCTGTGACCGTTCAGCTCGAGTCGATAAGCAAACTTTTCCGCTTGCTTGCGCGTTCCCATCAGCTGGACGATCGCAAAGAACTGCTGGTGCCCGTCGCACTTCTCCTGCTTCTTCAGGACTAGCATGAAGTGGAAGCCGAAGCAGGACTGCATCATCACCCAGTCCACAGACCCGGGGAGGTTGATGTCGGTGGCGAGGAACACGATGTCCTCCCCCTGCAGGGTGGTGATGGACTTGTGGTGGTGCATCAGGTGGGGCATCACGGCATCCAGGGAGCCCTGCCACCGACAGGACGCGCCGGGGCAGGGGCAGGCGTACAGCCGGAACGCACAGAGCTCCTCGTGGTCCGCCTTTTGGGTGTGCGGCAGAGTGATTTCACACCCCGAAATGGCGTGTTTGCAAGGGAACAGGACTGAGTTGGCCACCTTCTCCATGGCCAAGTTGCGGATGGTTCCCAAGGGGCCCCGACAGGTCGGACAGCAGGTGAGCTTGGGGCGACAGTTGCTGCAGACCAGGTGGCCGCTCTGACACTGCAGCGTGGGGGGCAGCGCGTAGTCAAAGCACACGGGACACTCAAAGAGACTGGCCAAGTCATTGTTGGACGCGATGGTGCCCGGCAGGGTGGGCACCTTCTGGGAAGGGGTGCACTTGGAGGTCCCGGTGGGTAACGCGGTGGACGTCCGGCGGCTCATCTGCAGGAACGTGGCCCAGGTGTTCCACATCCTCCGGGTGTAAGTCTGGGGGAGTCGAGAGAGGACCCCAAAGTACCTGAGAAGCGAAGCCCGGGGAAACCGAGGCTTATCACCAAAGGCCCGAGCCTCCCGGCCCAGCCACCGGCGCAGCCTCCTCCCCAACGACATAAACAGGGGAGGAGGCTGCATTCTTGCCAGCGCACAATGCAGGCG